CTACCAACTGATATTATTGATGGTAAACAATATGAATTACCAGTTCCACCAAATGAAATCAATACCTATGAAGATTTGAAACCACATTTAGGCCACTTAATTCTATCAGCATTAAACACTGAAATGTCATCTTCAAATCTTCTTACTCTTATTTGGTATATTATGTTTTATCAATTAGAGTTCTCTCATCAACATGTAAAACCATATGCCGATGGTAAACCAGTCACCCAATCATTTATTCATCAAGCTATCAATACCATCTTAAAGAAATGCTCATCATTCAACAATCAATGGTCACACGAGGTTATTCTTAGTTCATTCCAATTGTTATCAGATTTAGCAAGTCAATACCAAAGAATTCCAAATTTCCTTGAAAATGCAAATATTGTTGTAAGAAAGTTATGTAAATACATTACACTTAAATGTAAAGAAACAAAGGATATGTCACCAGAAACTGAGGATCTTGTTGCATTGGCAAGCTCTACTATTGCTGATTGGGTTGTTGTCAGTCCATGGATTTTCGAAACAAATTATATTACTGATACATCCACATTCTATATGGTTTTCAATGCTCTCTCTGTAGCCATGGGTGCAAAGAGTCCAACTGAATCATCATCAAATGCTTCAATCTCTTCATACTCTTCAATCTCATCATCTCAAAGTCAATCTTCATCATTATCATCAGCAGGCTCATCAAACCAACCATCAGCTGCTTCTCAAACACCAAAGAAAACTAAACCATACTTTAATAATTATATATCACCAAGAGTTAAAGAAGTTGCTCAATGTGCTCTCAAAGCAATTATGAGTAAAATTGCATATTTCCCAAATCCATATCATGCCTGCTCTACCAATACCTCATCAAAGATTACTGAATTCGATATCATCTCTCAAATTAAGGCCAAAGCAGATAAACATTTAGGTATTAAGAACTTCCCAGCTGAACAAAGTTTACGTTTCTATGCCATTGGTGATTCAATTATTGTTACCGTTATTGATCAACCATTCACCATGACTGGTTACTCCTCATCTGATGCTTATGTAACATTAATTATTCGTGACATGTCTGGTAAATCAATATTAAATTCACAATTAGCATTCCTCCCATTCAAACAAAGGGATATTAGTGAAACTCAACAACTCGCTACAAGTGAAGGTGGTGCACAAGCTTTAGATGATGGAGAAGGTGGTCCTGCTGCAGATTTCCAAGTTTCAACAACAAACTTAGTTTCTCCACCAAAGAAAAGATCAGAAAATCAAGCATGCCAACCATTTGTTTCTAGTTATATTCAAAATATCGAACAATTTGACGATCTTAGTGGTTACATTGAAAAACATTTTGATGAAAACTTTACCAAACTTATCAATAGTCAAATCGAAGTCGAAAAACAAAAACTCATGGAAAATAACTATTCACTCGGAGTACCAGTTACAATTTCACCACCAATATTAAAAGAATCTTTCCATGGTGAATGTAAATTACAACAAGCTCGTATTCTTTTAACTCATTTAGGTTTCCTCAATCATGAAAATAAGAATAAATTAATTCCATTAGAAAATTCATCACAATTCTTCCAATCACTTCATATGTTAGATTCAGTATCCGAAAGAGTTCAAACCAAGATTCCAATTATTTTCATCAAGAAAGGTGATGTAACTGAAGACGATATTTATAATAATGTTACAAGTAATACCGATCAAGATTATCAAGATTTTGTTTCTAATTTAGGTTGGTCAGTACCAGTTGCTACACACACAGGCTTCCTTGGTGATTTAGATCGTAAGACACTTATCCATGGTCAATATGCACCCTACTATGCCACTCATTCACGTGAAATTGCATTCTATGTTTCAACAATGATGCCAAATTGTGAAAACAATACTACTCAAGAACACAAAAAGAAACTTATTGGTAAAACAAATGTATCTGTTATTTGGTACCCAGGCCCAATCGAAGTTTATGAAAAAATACTTTTGGAAACTTTCCCACATGCTATTCAAATTGTTATTTCACCATTAGAAAATAATCTTTATCGTGTTAGAACTCTTAGAAAGACTGTTCACAGTAATCGTATGAAAACAGGACCAATCAATGATGAAATTATTGTCAGTAAACATATTTTAGCCAGTGTTATTCGATATACAGTTGTAAACTCTAACCAATCATTGCTTAATCTTAGTACTGGTGACTCCAAGATGCAACATCAATATATCAATCGTAAGAAATTAATCTCTGATATCACTGAATCTTTCAAACATGATATGACAATTCAAGATTTCTATGGTTTCCACTTTGAACCATTAAACCAATCACAAACTTACCAAAATGTGGAGAATCTTTCAGTACAAAATGCTTTCAAATTTGTTAAAACTTCATCTGTCAACCTTTTCCGTAGAGATAGAACTCAATCTGCCCAAATTGGCACATTTACTCTTCCACCACCACCCATTTCTCCAACCATTTCACCATTACCTTCTCCACATGGCGGCAACCCAGGTGCCACTGGTTGGGCTCATGGTAGTAAAACTAAAGATGAAAAAGAGAAAGAAAGAAATGCCACTCTCACAAGATCTGGTGGAGGTTTCCTTTCTAGAAGACCAAATTTAACAAATTCCGAAGAAAATAAATAACAATAAAATTAAATGAATCAAATTTTTTATTTTTAATCAATAGAATCATTTTTGAAAATTATGATCACCTCCAAATTTTTTTTTTTTTTTTATTATTATTCGCCATTTTTTTAATAATTTTTTTATATGTGATAATAAATAAAATATATTTCCAAAATATAAAAAAAAAAAAAAAATAAAATATCTTGGTTTATTTTTTTTTCTTATCATTTGGAAGCAAGTTGATTTTTTTTTTTATCAAAAAGTAATTATAAATTTTTTGTTAACATAAAATGTATAGAAATAATCTTATCAGTTTATTAATTTTATTTTTTTTATTTTTATCACTTACAAATTTAGGCCAAGGATATTTTATTAAAGATGTTTCATCTTATGAAACACTTTATAAGAGTTATGTATCGTTTTTAGGTTTTTGCACGTTTTCTTTAGATATATTGTGCATACCAGATGATGGAGAAGTATGTGATAATATAGGTTCGATAGTAGGTGCTGGTTTAATTGAGGCAATCACATATCGTAATGGCAATATCACTGTGTTAACTTATAAAGTTGAAACCAGTTCCAGTGGCACATACGTTGCTAAATTTGACACACTTTCTATTTCATTAGAGTGTAAAGGTAAATAGATACTAAATTTAAATATTTTAAAAAAAATAATCAATTAATTATTATCTTTTTTTATAGACCTCAATTTAGATGCAATATCATTTATAAGAAGTGGTGAGCATTTTACTCTCCCAACTGATGGAATGACGGTTGGTGGCATATATGTTTTAAAGGGATTCGATCTAGATACTTCAATAAATTCTATATATCCCAAAATTATAAATCTAGGACTAGAGGACTGTGGATTTGGGCTTACATCACATTCCTTTTTATTGTATTGTTATTCAATAGGGAAAGCTTATGATTTTTCACCAGTACAAGTGAATATATCAACACACACTAACTCTAAGATATATACGTTAGAGCCACTAGGTATGGTTTTATAAATATTATCTTATACATAATATAAATAACTAATACAATCATTTTTCTTTTTATTAATTTATTATAGTTTTTGAAAAATACTCAATTGTTGATATCCATACTTATCCAGAGGAGCAATATTTGGCCAATTATTTTATGTATGGGTACGATTTTAGGGGGATCCTTTCTTTTAAATTAAATGTATCTTTAATTAATGTGTTCTTCATTTTAACATATGGCGATGAAACAATATCAACTAATCAATTCCTTCCAATTAGCCACGATGAAACTGGTACAACAATATTTTGCCCAATAGGTGTTAGTGGAACAAATACTTATAATCTTTATTATGGAACCGAAACCGAAATTATTAATGCAACTCCTAATCATATTATAACGAATTTAAATCAATGTATGTATTTTGTTTTGTTATCTAAATTATTGTAGTAATATACTTATTTTTCACCATTATTTTAGATAGTTATTCAACATGGCCAGAATTAGTTTTATCAAGTAATTATGATGGTGATTTGCCTATTATTACATATGGTTATTCAGATCCAACTCCAAGAACAGATTTTCCTACTTTTGGTTTTAAGACTTCATTCTACAACCAAAAAACAAAGTTTCCATATGGTTATGTTAAATCTTATATTAAACCCAATTCAGTTTACAACCTGTACACATTTCAAGTTACCTCTTTGGTAAAGAATATAAGTGCATATACATCAAATTTGATTACAGTTACCCCAACAGTATTACCTTTTGACAAAACTCTAACTTATTCAGTTCAAGGTATGTTATTTTAAATTAACTATTTTTGGTAACTTTTACTAATTAGAATATTAAATAGACCCATCTTTTGTTTATGATACAAATAAAGAGCCTATAATTTTAGATTCAGAAAACATCAATATGGGAAATGGTAATTTTTTATTACGACTTAATATTAGTATACCTTATGGGTTCAGCCATTTCATTACACTCCAAAACTCAGAACTTTCATTAAGTGGTGTAGAAACTTTTGTAAGTGGCAATTTATATGGTATCGGTATTTATGAATACATAGTTTCAGACTATTTCCTTATTTTAGATCAGGCTTCTAACCAAAAATCTTTTTCAAGAGGGACTATCATGTCAATTAATAATAATAATGAGGCATACAGATATTATAAAGGTCCATTTGTAAGCAATTGTAAGTAAAACTATTATAAATTGATGGCCTTTAGATTTTATTTATTAACATTTCTTTTTTAAAAAAAGTTGATATGAATTTGATTCAAAATGTATCATTTTTATATAATGATATTGATATTACAAACCATACTCATTATAATGTTATATATTTCAATTATCCAAATAATGTTCCAAGAGATTCCATTTTTCTTATAACCACCCAAATGTTTACCAACTTGGATTCAATTTATGAAATTGAAAAAAAATTTTATTCAAGCTGGAATGAAACCATTGGGAAATTTCAAGTTGAATTTTACATTGAAGCAAATTCTTTACCAGGAGTTTATACATTCATTTTAATAAATTATGCAAATTCACAATATTTACTTAGTAACTCTCTTAGTTCTCAGTTAATAATTAAAAAATCAAGTAGGTTTTAAATATAGTTTTTAATAAATTTAAAATGTAAAATTTATACTAACTTTCCAATTATTTAGAATTTGACAACCAAGGACCTATGTTTAAAGAGATAACAAAGAATGTACCAAGTATCGTTGATGGAACCTCTGTTAAATTTGGCACAGTAGGATGGACTTTCAAAATAGAGGATCAAATTAATGGCTTTGATCATGGTTTTATTGTTATCAAAGGCCAAATTGATCAATCACATTACAACATATCCCTATCAAAAAATAATATTATATCTGGCGATATTTATTTAGGTGCATATGATATTGGAATAAATATATCATTCCCATGTATTACTCAAAACTATGTCATCGATGAGGTAAAACTAGTTGATAGAGTGGGCAGAATCTCTTATTTTGGAATTCTTTCAGAAAATGCAATGTTAAAATCAATTTTGAACCCATTTTTGTATTATTTAAATGACTCTTCAATTAATGTTATAAGACTTCAATGTGAAAATGCTCCGATAGATAATTCACCTCCAGAACTTTTGTCATTCAAATCATCAACCTCATCAAGCTCTAATGAAATCGATGTCAGTAAAATATCAAGAACAATTACATTTAACTTTAAAGCTTCTGACCCAGAAACTGGTATAAAAAATGAAACATACCCTATTGTATATATATTAAATTCAAATAATCAACTCCTTGAATGCAAATCAAATGTTACAGAGAATACAAATACCTTTACTTCATATACATGCTCCATGGAGCTGCCACTGGGTTTTGGATACCCTGGAATTCTCATCTATTCAGTGTATGGTTTCATCAGTAATGGTGGTCTCTATAGTGGTTATTCAACAAAGCTTTTAAGAGAGAGTGGTTTTGATTATTTTGTCAAAACCAAATTCGATACTTTTGATCCAGTACTTACTGGCCATGGTGACGTTACAGAGAAGGGTGGTAAACTATGGCTATATGGCAGATGTTTAGAAGATGTATACAATGTCTACTTTAAGTTTGAGGGTAAAGAAGGCACTACATATTTATATCCAACTATAAAATATTCAACTGCCATTTTAATTCCAAATGTTGATGCAACAAACAAACCATATGAAGTTTATGTAACTAACAGCAAAGGTGTATCAAATTCAATTAAAGTATCTCCAAAAGTATATGATTATTATTTGAAAATCCCTGTCAATTGTAATAATAATGGTCTCTCAGTTAATCAATATTCAAACTGTATTTGTAATAGCAAATGGACCTCAACCGATACCATAAACCAATGTAATATACCAAATCATTATATCTCATTATCAACACAAGTATCAGAAAAAACAGGTGGCGAAATTATACTTTATGGTTGGTTCGGTTCAACAAATGAAAACTTGGCCCTCATTATTGATAATAAAAATTCACCTATTACTTCGTTAACACAAGATTCAATTAAAACTTCTATAGGACCTGGTACTATTGGACCAGTAAAAGTTAATTATACGCAAAATTCAATTACATGGAGTGGTATAATATACCCATATTTAATAACCGAAAAAGAATGTTCCCCAAAATGTCAAGAACATGGTATTTGTAATAAAACTACAGGGTCATGTAAATGTAATTTAGGTTTTACTGGTTTTGATTGCTCTTCATCTACAAACAATAATAATAACAATCAAACACAAACAGAAACAGAAGTTAATAATAATGGTTCAGTTATAATTAAGAATCAAGAGATTGGATTTTCAATCTCAATTGAATCAATTATAGAATTAAACTTTAATAATGAAGCTGTATCAATATATAATTTATCAAAAAGTTGGGAATTAATTAATAAAACAGGGTCAGTTTCAATATTCAAACAAAAAAGAGCCAATGCAGATGAAACAGAAGCAACAATTGGTCTAATATTAGAGGAGGTAAATGATAAAGATAAAGAGTTTTCTTTTGCCGGTAATCAATTTACAATCATAAAAGGAGGCCTTAAACTATCACTTTCAATTAAAGATTGGTTATTCCAGAGTAATCTCAATACATTACAAGTTCAAATGTCGTCTGATATTCAAATCGACACCAATAGAGATAATAAATGCAATAATGATAATAATGATGCAGAAATTGAATCGTCATCAAATAATAATTATCTATCAAATAATATAAATTATTTAAAGATCACCAAAAATAATAGAATACTTTATGCAAGATTTCAAGATATAATGCTATCAGATAATAGACCAACAACAATCCTAGCAAAATTAATTTCAAGTGATAAAAGCTCTGTTAGAATTGGATTAAACTTACCCCATTGTAGTGATTGTTTAATTGACCCAGGTTCGTATTTTTTTTTTTTAAAAAATTAAAAAATAATTTTTTAATAAATAAAAATTTTAATTTTTTTTTTTTTTTAATTTAGATTTTTCTTTATTGGTTTCCACAGATTATAAATTTGAATGCAAGGAAAAATCTAAAAAATGGATCATTGCCGTATCAGTAATATTGGGTGTCGTCGCTTTTGTAGCCATAGCTATAGGTTTATATGTAGCCCTTAAAAAGAGCACAGTTTTAAAAATTAAAGTTTATAAACTAAAAAAACTTTTAAAAAATAATAATTAATATTAAAAATAAACAAATAACTTTTCACACAAAATTTTAAAATGAATAAATAAAAAACTTTCTCTTTTTTTTTATAACAATTTAGTTTATAATAATTAAAACAATAAAAACACTTATAACTAATTGGTTTTTATGAAAATATAAAAAATAATTATTTAATGTTTTTTTTTTTTAATAAAAAAATTATAATTTTTATAATTTTTTCATTTTTAAAAGGTGTATAATAAAAAACCAATTTTGTTTTACACCTTTTTAAATTATTTTAAAAAAAAAATTTAAATTTAATAAAAATATTTATAAAATGAACAATTGCACTAGAAAAGGAATAGACTCATCAGATTCATTTATATCACAAAATATAAAAGAAAATGAATCAATTAACTATTCAAATTTGGGACTAAAGAATATTAATGGTACAGATTGCTTTGCAAACTCAATTATTAAATTATTATTATATTGTGAAGGTTTAAAGAATTACTTTTTAAATGAAAATAAAATAAAATGCAATTTGGTAAAAATTCCATCAAGTTCAGTAGACACAGAAATTACAAATGAAATAAAAAATCTATTTATCATTTACTATAAAAAGAAATCACCAATTTCAGAGTCTCATGCAAAACTTTAGATCTTATCTATAAAAACTATAATGAGTTTAAAAAAGGAGTTCAACAAGATGCCTACTCATTTTTTCTTAATATATTATCATCTTTAGTTTCCTCAACAAAATATGGCAGCAATGTTAGCTTTTCATGTGTGTTCAAAGTATCCATATAATTTAGATGGTGATCAAAAAACATTACTCGAAAATACAAATGATTTTTTAAATAGTGAATCATCAAGAATATTTTCCCCAATGATTGATATTTTTGATAAAATTACTTCAAGTCAGATTTTACACGCAACAGGAATCATTTCAAAAACTTTAACAAGGGATAGCGGAGATGTATTAGATATTCCAAATAGGGTATTTGTTTTATTATTAATAAAAGAAATTAATACAGAAGAAAATAACAATAACAATAATAACCTAATTAAAATTTTTAAATTTTTTAATTTATCCTTTTTTATAAATAAATTTGCTACAATAAATCAATTAAAAAAAATGGTATCAATAAAATATAAAGAATTTAATATCTCATTCAGAAATTATATAGTTTCAGATAGTGTCGGGAATTTATTAGAGGAAACTATAGAAATCGGGAAATGTATCAACAGCTATAATGAAAGTAATGTAGAATATAAACCTAAAAAAATAGAAGAAAAATATTTTATTATGGTTTCATTTAAAGATATAGAAATTGAAAAAAAGGAAACAAAACTATCATCCTTTATAGATTTTGGTAAACCGATTCCAAACGAAACCAAATGTAATGTAGAAAGAATTCTAACTCCTTTAAATACATCTAATATTTTTAATATTAATAATTGTTGTACTATTGAAGACTGCTTAGATTCAAAATACAATACTCCTTTTCAGCTTGGAGAATGTATGGAATGTAAAAAAAAAAAAATAACTCACCAGGGATGTTTTAAAACAGAAAAAATAATTAAAGAAAGTGAAATATTAGTGTTTTCTTTGAAAACTTATCATTCTAAATCAAATCTTGACAAAGACTCAGTTAAACTTGACCAAAAAATTCATTTTCTTGAAACAATAAGTGTTTTAGTAAATGCAAGAAAAATTAAATATAATTTAAAGGTTTTAGTTTACCACTTAGGAAATTCAATACAATCGGGTCATTATATTTGTGTTTCCAAAGATGAAGATAATATATGGTTGGAACATAATGATTCAATTGTTTCTTTATTAAAAAATCCAATTTTGAAATCAAAGAATGTTTATCTTTGTGTCTATGAAAAGAGTCCTTATCAAGATATAGAAGAAGAACCATTAAAAGATATAGATTTATATAATATAGGTATTGATATTAATTCACCAATCACACTATCATATCAACATAAATATTATGAATTATTACAACTAATAAACAAACTATAAGCCACCAAATTAAAGATAAATACAATAAACACAATATTTTATTTCCATTAAATATTTCTTTTTATTATTTTATTTTATTAAACTAATAAAGTTTTATTTAAATTTGATTTAATTGTTTTAATATTTTTATTTTAAATTGATATTATTTTTTATAAATTTTGTATTATTTTATTATTTATTATTTTATTTTATTTAACTATTATTATTTGTGATTCTCTTGGTTCACATATTAAAGATAAATTAAAACATTCAGATTCTGGTATAATTTTATGATTTAAAAATGGTAACATATCTTCGACAACACTAAGATTGTAGGGTTGTTGTTGAAACTCTTGAATTTGTTTAATTTGTTCGGCTATTAATCTACATTTGAAAAAGTTTGTAAAACCATTTTCTAATCTATCTTGGTTACCCTCCTCGACAAAAGTGAGATCACTGAGATGTACACCTAAATATGGAATACGAGCACCAGTTGATTGACGTAATTCTAAACGATAAGCAGCAAAACTACTGTTTGGTGAAGTAAGAGCAACAAACTCTTCAAATTGTTTAATTTGTTGTTTAGAGATTTCGCCCCAAGTATTTTTGAGTCTATTTACAGATGCAGAGTGAAGACCTGATACAATTACAAATACACCATTAAAGTTATTTAATTTTTTAAATTCTTCTGCAACTCTAATGAATCTCTTTAAATAAAAAGCACGTTTCTTTAAGTTGGTTTCTTTAACGATTGTGGTGGATACCCAATTACTAACTTCGTTGAAACGGTAAATCATTTTTAATAAATTTGGTGACCTCTTTTCTTTATCTGCTTTCTGCCACGATAGTGAAAGGAATTCTTTGTTTGCAATTTGTTTGAAAAGATTAAATTCGATGATGGTTAATTGACGAGCAATTTCAACTGGATCCATATCTTCAAATGATTGAATGGGAAGCTTTGGAAGAATTGAAGCTGGTGCTGAACTATTAAAAATTGGTGAGAGTACTGTTTTGTCATCACTATGAACAATACCACTAATCTTATTAATAACTTTTTGGAATACCTCTTGATGATCACGACAATTTGCAACGAAAATATTAAACTCTTGAACAAGATCTTGATCGAAATCATAAAAATGTTTGTCACACCAACGTTTTAAAAAGTTGCAGATTTTAAGATGTACTCTTTCTCTTGATTTATTTTCTTCTTCGATTTCTAATCTCTTTACTATATCAATTGAATCGCTTTGGACTGGATAGTTTTCATTATAAGTCTTGGTTAAAACATCCATAATTTTCTTTGGTGATGTAAAAGAACGATAAGTTAAGAGGAAAGTTTCGTAGTAATCGGAGCCAACAAACTCTGGATTGTAAAGCAATTCGATAAGCTTTTCAGTTGTTCCACCTTTAATTTCTAGTTTACCATGGTTATAATTATAAATAATACCATCATCAGCTTTACGGGATTCGGTTTTATTTTTTCTTTTGATTTCACCCATTAAAGACTCTATCATTTTTTGCATCTCTTCAATACGAGTGGTTAAACTTTTGTTTTCTTCTACTATTGATAACATGTTGGTTAATGTGAAAATTTCATTTAAAAATCTACGCTCTTCACGACGACAAATTTCCATTTGGCGGTTTTTTGGTTGGTGGAGGAAAGATTCTGTTAAAAAGGTACTGCTATTTTCAAATTGTAATAATTCGTCATATTCTACAAGATTCTTATATTTCTCTGGATAGGTAAAACTAATTCTATCCTTTAATATTTTACGATCTTTAAAAAGAAATTCGACTTTGCCAAGCTCTTTCATAAGCTCCTCATTGTTTACTTGTTCTTCTGGTAATAAATTACCTAAACTGTTATTTGAATTATTATTATTACTATTATAAAAATTGGTATCATCTTCAAAATGGTTACCACTTGAATTTAATTGATTACTATTATTTGACATTGATAATGTTGACACTGGTTCTTCGTCATTATTATTATTAGTATTTAAATCTGGTGAAATTGTGTTATTGGTGGATTGACTATTTAAATTCTTTTTAGATTTAGATTTCGATGAGGTTATTAAATTACTTGTTGATGATGCTAAACTATTGTTATTACTATTACTATTTGATACAGGTGGTTGTGGAGATGAAGGGCTTTTAACATTAAGATTGGTAGTTGAAGTTGTTAATTTGGTTTTACTAAAAAATATTTTTTCTAATTTCTGCTTTGTGCTAGACCTTGGCTTTTTAATTTGGCCATTTGGGCTATTACTATTATTATTACTATTTTCTTTACTATCTTTACTATATGATACAGTGTTATAATGTGTTTGATCTCTTGGTACAGGTGATTGTGGTGATGATACATGTTCTTGTTGTTGCTGTTGTGATGGTGGAGAAAATATTGATGATGATGAGGAGGATGAGGATGATATAATTGATGCTGGTGATGAAGTAGATGTTGGTGATGATGTTGAAATGGTATGATAATTATTGGTTGGTGTGTTATTTTCTAATTTATTTTTTACAGATGATGGAATTATTGTTGGTGAGATAACCTCTCCATTACTACTATTTGCACTATTGCTTCTAGACGAAACTTGCTCTTCTGACTGAACTGTAACTGAAGTTTCTTCATATACTGTTGCTGCAGCTTCTGAAATACTAGCTTGCTCCATTTCAAATTGTATCTCGTCAGTGGAGACTGATAGTTGTCCTCTACCCTCTCTTGGTGGTAAAGGTGGTGGTGGTTTATTATATGTTGTAATATTGTTTTCATTATTTTCATCAATATTATTATTATTATTATTATTATTATTAATATTATTATTGTTATTTTTATTATTATTTATTTCAGGTTTGTTTTCAGTAAGCTCTGATTCGGGTGATGAAGATTTTATAATATTGGTATTTGTATTTGTTGTGGTGGTAGTTGTTAAAGTAGTTGGTGATTTTAATGACCTTTCAGGTGAGGTTGAAACATTTTGGTTTTGGTTTTGACTAATATAACCTGATAAAGAATTTGAAGATAAGTTTCCAGATGATTGTTTTTTTAACATTGCTGGTGATGCTGGTTTTTTAAGTATTGTAGAAGCCAATGTTGGTGTTGGTGTTGATGTTGTTGTTGGTGATGACTCTTCTTTCTCCTTCTCTTTTTCTTTTTCTTTTTCTTTTTCCTTTTCCTTTTCTTTTTCATCTTCTTTCTTTTCAACTGGTGCTGGTGGTGGTGGTGGTACATTAAAACCAATTCTAGATTTACTAACAATTTTATTTGAATTTGTATATAATTGTGATGAATTTAATGCTGATAAAATTGGTTTTGGTGCAATAGATTCTGAATGAGCTCTTTCTTGTACTGGGGATGGTGGCTGTGTAACTGGTACTGGTTGAGCAACTCTTTTTAAAACAACTGGTGATGGTTTAATATTATTATTTTGTGATGAATTTGATAAAATTGATGAGGATGAGCCTGGTGATGTCGATAAAATCTTTTCACTAAATCTCATTAGGGTATGTAATTGTTGAAAAATAATTGTTTCTTTTTCTTCAAAAATTAAATCTTGGAATCTGGACATATCTTCAGTCATACCAATTAATTCGCAACCCTTAACAAAACTAACTAAATTCTCTCTATATGAAAACACGGCTGTACCTGTATTGATTTTTTTAATTGTATTTGGTTTTATAGAATTTATAATTCTAAAATGAAATTAGTAAAAAAAATTTTATTTTTTTATTTTTTAATTTAAATTAAAAAAATAATACTTACTTGCAAAGTGTAACACCATTTTTTAATGATTCACAATAGGGCTTTGTGATTTTAATTTTAACCTGATTATAAATCCAATCTACAACAAGATTTTCTATATCATCATTATAATTAATTGGTGAAAATTGATTAGCATTAAAATATAAATAAGTTTTTTTATAATTATTAGTTTTTAAGTCATTATTAAAACTATTCCAACTATCACCACTGCTACCACCACTACTATTACTATAAATTGAGCAACTATCAGTATCATCAATATTACAGTTATTATGATTATTGTTGTTGTTATTATTATTGTTATTATTGTTACTATTGTTATTATTATCTTTATCATTATTTAAACTATAATTATTAAATAATGATTTATCATTTAAAAAAAGAAAATCATTATTTATAACTGAATTATTATTACTAAAAAAATTACTAAAATATGGATTATTGTTATCATCCATTATTTATTTATTTATTTATTTATTTATTTATTTATTTATTTGCATATATCTATTATTGTTAAACACTATTATTCTATCTGTTATTATCTACTTTTTTTTTTTTTTTTATAACTGAAAATTTTAAAAAAAAATTAAAAAAAAAAATTTATCTGCAAAAGTGTTGATTTTATTTATAGAAAAATATATATAATAGTAGCAGTGTAAAACAAATATATCCTTATTAAAAATATGTCACTTACCTTGTTCAACCATTTTCTATTATATTTCTAATTATCTATATTTTTTTTTTTTTTAAAAAATATAGATTATAAAAACACTTTTTAATTTAAAAATTCTAAAGTTATTATTATTATAAATTTTTTGAGTTGGTTATTTTTTGCTATAAATGTGTATATGTTTAAGTGTATATATGTATTTTGGTGTTGTATGTGTGTGTATGTGTATATGTGTATGTGTATGTTTTGGTGTGTTTTATAAATAAATTTGTGTGTGTGTGATGGTATATTAAAAATGTGGTATACTCAAAATAAAAAAAAATTTTAAAAATAAAAAAAAGATATACAAATCTATGAATGAAAAAAAAAACACACCAGTATTATACTACTACTATAATTATTATTTTTAAATTATTAATAAATATGTTTAAAATAAAAATGTGTTTTGATAGGATAAAAAAAAATTTTATTCACACAACAACCCACATTAAAATTTTTTAAAAAATCAAAAAAAACAACTTTTGGAAAAAGGAAGGGTTTTTTTTTTTTAAAATATCTATATTTGATTCTGGATTAAAATATAAATTTATATTATTTAAATTATATTATATGGAATATAAATGTTGTGAGGTGATTATTTATTTATATTATTGGGTTTTTTTTTGATGGATATGGAATTAATACACACATATAAATTATTTGTGTGTAAAACATTGACTTTGAAAACACACACAAAAATCAGAATTTTTTATTTTTTTTTAGCGTTTTAACCAACCAAAAAAAAATCTTTGTATTTGAAAAAAAAAAAATTAGATTTTTTATTTTTTTTTTTTTAGCATTTTAAATTTTATTTATTTTTATTTTTTTTCTTTTTTTTTTTTATTTTTTTTCAGTTATAAATAAACAACAAATAATAATCAAAAAATTTATTATTTTTTTTTTTTTTTTTATATTATCCTTAAAATCTGTAAAAAAAAATAAAATCAACATTTTTAAAAAAAAAAAAAAAAAAAAATTAAATGAGGCAAATTTATATGCTTTTTTTTTTTATTTCTTTAATATAAATAGTACTTTTCATTTTGCAATGATCTTTTTATGTAATTATATATTGTTAATCGTGTTATCATTAAAAAATTATATAAAATCTGATTCTTTAAATTGGTGCGTGCACTAAAACTGGTACTATATATATTATATATATTAAAATAATATATCTTTTTGAAAATTTGAAATTGAATTTATTAAAAAAAATAAAATAGTGTGTGCTTTATGGGGTGTAATTAAATATTTGATACAATTTGACAATACCCACACAATTATCTTTTTTTTTTTTTTGATATTTTTAATTTTTACATAATAGTAAATGATGGGGGTGCACAAATATATCGAAATAAATTATACATATAAATTAAGAGAGAGAAAGAACGAGAGTGAAATCTTATATGATTAAATTTATTATCAATTATTCATAACATTAATGTGGAGCTAATATAACAAATTTAAAATGTATACTTTTATTTAAAAATTATTTATATATACTCTTTTTTTTTTAAAAAAAAAAGATACATTTGAGTTTCTTTTTTTAAAATTCAATTATAAAATTATTTTTTCTTTATTTAATTTAATTTATTTAAATTATTTTTTATTTATTATTTTTAATTTATATATTTATTTATTAATAAACATTAAGTAATGTTTAAAATTTAAAAAATTTTTCTTTTCTTTATTCAATCATTACACAAACTGTTGTTATAACAAAATTATAATTAATTAATTTAAATATGGGTAATATGTTTCCTGGTTTAAAGCATAAACCAAACTCATCAAGTATTGGTGTTAATAGTAATGTTGGTCTACAACATAACCGTGGTTTAGTTGGTGTGGAAGTCTCAAGTGATTTAAAAATAGTCCAGACCAATATTGTTTCATTTGCTCCTCAAAACACAACGTTAATGAGTTCCTTGACAAATCCTCCAGGTTTTAAGAAATAACCACTTTTTTTTTTTTTTTTTTTTTTTTTTTTTAATTTTTTCCCAAGTCAAAAATCAAAAAAAAAATCAAGATTCAAGTATATAATATAAATTATATTATATCAAAAAATCCCCCCAATATATATGAAGTAAAATAAAATGTATTCTAATTTATTTATTTAAATCATTTTCTTTAAAAGTAATTAATTGCTCCCAAATTATATTAAAATTTTTTTTCAAAAAAAAAAAATATATTTTTTTGATTTTTTTTTTAATTTTTTTAATTTTTTTTTTAAAAAAAGTATTATTTTTTTTAATATTTATTAAAATTAAAAAACAATAGTTCAAATATCTCTTTTCTTTTCTAATTTATATATTATTTATATATAAATATAATATTATACTATACCATACTATACTATATAGCCGACTCTAATAATAATAATAATAAAAATTGAATATAGATAGAAATGTCAGATCCATCAACACCAAATAATCAAATGGGAGGATTTAAATCAAATTCAGCAGGTACACCACATACAACACCGTTACAAACGGGACCATTGACAGCACTTTCATCAATATCTGCAACCAATTCACCAGTTTCAGGAATGCATAATAATTTAAGTTCAAATAATTTACAAAGTTTAGATAATAATAATAATAGATTTCAACAACCACAACAATACTTTCAACCACAAACTCCTACACAACAACCACAGCAATCACAAATGCAACCATCTGTATCAAATAATAATTTAGGTTCATTGACCTCTCAACCAATCCCAACTCCTCAACAAAGACTGATAAGCTCAAGTTGTTTTGAATTTTTTTATATAGAAATGATTGATTATATTATGAAATCTTCTTCAGATAAAACCCAGGCTCATAAAAAACTGGATAAATTAGGTTATAAAGTTGGTCATAGATTAGTTGAAAGGTAAATATGTGTTTATTTTATAGTTATATATGGTCATTTAAGATGGTTTTATTTACTAACCCTCATCAATACAATTTAAATAATAATAGACTATCAAATGAAACTCCATTATTCCCTGAATTATTAGACGCTGTAAAATTTATCTGTAAAGTATTTTGGACAAATATTTTTAAAAAAACAATAGATGGTTTAAAAACCAATCATAAGGTAACTCATCAAGCATAATATCCAACTCTATACAAATAGCTTTATTAATATATATTTCTTTTTCCTTTTTTTTTCTTTTAGGGTGTATTTGTATTAACTGATTCTAAATTTCAATGGTTGCAACATCTTTCATTTGATGCAACTGCAAATAACAAAGATTGCTCAGAATATGTTCAATTTGCAGCTGGTTTAATTAAAGGTGCCATGTCAAATTTTGGTTTTAAATGTATTGTTTCTTTTGATATTCAACAAGTTAGCACATGTATGTAGTTTAATCAATTTTTAATATATAACCCCACACTAAAAAATTGGATACTAATTTTTTAAAAAAAATATTATAGGTGTATTTACTATTAAAATAGAATCTTAAAAAAAAAATAAAAAAATAAATTATAAATTATAAATTAGCATTAATTTAAACAATAGTTATTTATTAATCATTTTTTTTTTTTTTTTTTTTTTTTGATTTATTAATATTTAAAAATAATTTTAAAAAATAAAAATAAAAAAAAATAAAATTTCTTTCGTTTTTTTTTTTTTTATTTTTTTTTTATTTTTTTTTTTCAGTATTAATAGTTTTATTTTTTTTTTTTTTTAAAAAATAAACAAATTGTATATAATAAATAATTTAAATATAATAAATATACCAAACCACAAATATATATAATACATTAAAATGATAAGAAGAAATGCAAGATTAAGACAAGAGTATTTATATAGAAAAGGATTGGAGGGTCAAGCTAAAGAAGATTATGAAAAGAAAAGAAAGATTAAAAAAGCATTAGACGAAGGTAAACCAATCCCAACAGAGTTGGTAGATTTTGAATTCAAACACAGAGATGAAATTAAATTGGATAAAATAGATCAAGAAAAATCACCATCCTCAATCGATGATGAATATGCTCGTGCAGGTATTCAAGATCCTAAAGTTTTTATTACAACAAGTAGAGAACCATCAGCAAGACTTATTCAATTTAGTAAAGAGTTAAAGATGATGTTCCCAAATTCACAAAAAATGAACAGAGGTGCACACGTTATGAAAGAACTTGTTGACGCATGTCGTGCAAATGATGTTACAGATTTAGTTATTGCACACGAACATCGTGGTGAACCAGTTGGTTTAGTAGTTTCACATCTCCCATATGGACCAACAGCATATTTCGAAATTAAAAATTGTGTTATGATCCACGATATCGAAGACTCATCTCCACCATCTTTAGCATTCCCACATTTAATTTTTAATAATTTTACAACTCCATTAGGTGAAAGAGTAAATATATTTTATTTTTTTAAAAAAAAAAATACAAAAAAAACACCACATACATTTTTTTTTTTTTGATCAATTAATTATTTACTAATTATTTATTATTTTTATTTAGACTGAAAATATATTAAAATATTTATTCCCAGTACCAAAAGAAGATAGCAGAAGAGTTATTACTTTTTCAAATGATAACGATTTTATTTCATTTAGACATCATCTTTATGAAAAGGATGGTCACAAAAATATTATATTAAAAGAAATAGGCCCAAGATTCGAATTAAAATTATACAAGATTCAATTAGGTACTGTAGAACAAGACGAAGCCGATCTCGAATGGGTTTACAGACCATACATGAATTCTAGCAAGAATAGAACCTTTATATAATTCAAATTACAGATTTCAACAATTATGGATTTTATTTAAACACAATTGGAAAAAAAATTATAAATAAAAAATAAAAAAAAAATTATTAAAAAAAGAGAAAAGTAGTGTAGGGTGAATAAACAAATCTTGATTTTGGATATTTATATTAATAGTATTTATTAGTCTAAAAAGTACACTTTTACTTTGATGAATGGTTATAAAAACCACGAAATTAAAATCGAAAGAAAAACTAAACAAATAACCAAAATAAAATAAAAATAATTTTATAATAAGAGCTCAATAAGAGTTCTTAAAAAGAAATTTTGGTTCAAATACAGTTTAACAAAAATTTATTAAATTTTTATAGAAAAACGGTCCTTTCGAAATATCACTAAATCGATATGTTGATTAAATATTCCACCAATAACAGCATCGGTTTTCTATTTTTGAAATATTTAAATATAGTATTTTTTTTTTAAGTTACTTAAGTGATTAAAAAAAAATATTATAATTTAATTTTTGTTTTTTTTTTTTAAGTTTTCTATTTTTGAAACCCCTTTTGAATATATTTAAATTTTAATTATTTTTTTTATTTTTTAAATTTTTATATTTTTATTTTTATTATTATTATATTTCAATTTTTAATAATATTATTAAATATGTCAAAGTATAAATGTTATCATGATGAATTTTCTATTGGGAAATTAAAAAAATATGGTTATACTGTTTATTTTGAACAATTGGTAGAAGAGGATGGATTCCCTGAAATGGAAAATGGTTATTGTACCGAGGCCTGCAAAGAAAAAATGAAAGAAATTTATACATCAGTAATGGAAGAATATTTAAAAAACTCTAAACGTTATTTTGAAGATGCAAGAATTTTTAAATATGGGGAAAATAAACATTATGTTCACAAGGATGACTATGAATCGTTCTTTAAAAAAAAAGAAATCTTTTTAAATCCAATCGATAGGAGTGACAAAATGGTGTTGGTTTGTTTTAAAGTTGGTATTCTAAACGGAAAACCGGTAAGGTTATGTGATCTTCCAGAAGGAGTTAAATGTGATTATGATGCTGATAATCTACCAGGGGGTCCAATTAAAGAGGAAGATGATTAAATTATTTATAATATTTTAATTTATATTCCTTTTAGAATTTCAATCATCTTTATTATATAATAAAATATTAAAAAAACCAACAAATTATTTAAAATTTTTCTATTTATTTTTTTCTCATTTTTTATATTGTTGTGTAGAATTTGTGAGTTTGATATATGGAACATTATTAATGAGTATAGTTTTTCATAAATTTGCCTCATTTTGGTTATTTAATTTATTTTTAACACCAAAAATGGAAAATATAAAATTTTAAAAATAAATAATTTAATTTATATACCTGTTGGAACAATAGTTTCATTAACTTTAAAAAAAAAAAATTTTTAATATTTTTAAAAAAAAATAGGAAAGTAGATGAGAATGAATTTTATCAATGAATAAAAAATAATTTATTTATAATTATATTAAATTCATAAAAATTTCATAAAACAAAGATGCATAAAATATTTTTGGATTGGAGGTTGCCCAACGAAGGTGGAAAAGTTCAGCCTTTTTTGCGACATATAATATTTGTTGACTCTCTTTCAATTGAAGTACCAGAACCTTCTCTAACAGCAGCACCGGTGACAGCATATTTAGTATCTCTTTGAGTCTTTTCATTTTGAGCCCTTTCTTTCTCAACTTTTTATTTTTGAACCTTTTCTTTCTTATCTTTTTCTTTTTCAACTTTTCTTTTTCATCTTTTTTTTTACAGCTTTTTCTTTCTCAGCTTTTTCTTTTTCAGCTTTTTGTTCTTCAGCTTTTTCTTTTTCAGCTTTTTGTTCTTCAGCTTTTTCTTTCTCAGCATTTTCTTTTTGAGCTTTTTCTTTCTCAGCTTTTTTCTTTTCCACCTTTTCCTCTTCGGCTTTTTGTTTATTAGCTTTTTCTTTCTCAGCATTTTGTTCTCTTGCAAGTTGTAAAAGATTCAATATAACTATATCTGTTTCCAATTCTTTTTTATCCCCATTTTTAAATCTTTCTGGTTTTTCAGTTTCTATCTCTTTTAGTTTAATGAGTTCATTCAATGTTTCATCAATTTGTTTCAAATAACCTGGACTATGTGGTTTGAATTTGATTTCTTGTTTTTCTTTTTCTTCTTCTTTGCTATCCTCCTCTTTACACTCACCATTTTTCGATGGTGTAGTATCAAAATTACTGAAGTCTATTCCATCCAGTACTTTTCCACCAGAATATGGAATTCCTTCAAGGAATAAATTTGCAACTTTGTTTTCTTTGGAAATAATGTGGGCAACTGGATCAGGGGTATTACTATCTTGTTTAGAAGGATTAGCGAAAGGGTCAGGTGCATTTACATAAGTATATGGTCTAGTAAAATCTAGCAAATTCATATTTAGAACAGTTCTTAAAATATCCACTGGGAAGCCATTTGTACCAAATTTTAGTTTATCACCAGGAAAAAAACCATTACGTTTATTTACTAAGGTTGCAAAATTTGATTTTAGTACTCTTTCTATATCACTAGCATCATAATTATACTTTTTATTATTTAGAACCGCGGTTCTGGGTAGTTTCATATAACATGCAATTGCATTGAGGGTACCCAGATATTTTCGAATTTTTTCTTTGTTTCTTTCAAATCCTGCTTGAATGTCAATTCTTGATTTACCCACATATAAAAGAGGAAATGTTGTATATCCATTCTCCCCCCCTGTATATGAAATAGGAGTTTGAGAAAAAATTAAATAAACTCCTGGATGTGCACATCTTTGTGGTGTTAATTCAACTCCAACTTGATCCTTTTCTGTGTAGGGGACACATACCCATGGAACACCTGTATTTATATGAGGTTCTGGTGGTACACTAACAAATCTACTTGAATATTTTGTTGCACAGTTGATACCATTTAATAATATGATAAAAATTGATATATAAAATAAAATTTTAACATTGGTCATTATTTTAAATTTAAATAATAAACATTTAAAGATTGTATATAAACAAAAATATAAACTTAAAATATATTAAATTTTTAAACACCTATGTACAATTAAATTTATTTTTTTTCATTTTTTTGAAGAGATCAAAAATTTTTTAAGTTTTCTATTTTTGAAACCCCCTTTGAATATTTAAATATAATTTTTTTAAAATTAAATATATTTTTATTTTTTATTTTTTAAGTTTTCTATATTTGAAACCCCCTATGAATATATAAATATATTTTTGTGTGTTTTTTTTAAGTTGTCTATTTTTGAAACCCCTTTAAATTTTTTTTTTTCATTTTTAAATTTTTATTATTATTATTATTATATTATATTATATTATATTATATTATATTATATTATATTATATTATATTATATTATATTATATTATATTATATTATATTATATTATTGTTATTTTTCAATTTTTTATATAACATTATTAAACATGTCAAAGTATTCATGTTGGCATGATAAAATTTCTGTTGGTGATATAAAAAAATATGGTTATACTGTATATTTTGATGAATTGGTAGACGATGATTTATTCCTTGAAATGGAAAACGGGTATTGTACAGAAGTCTGCAAAGAAAAAATGAGAGAAGTTTATAGCTTAACAATTGGAGAATTTATAAAAAACACAACAGGTTATTTTGAAGATGCAAGAATATTTGAATATGGGAAAAATAAATTACGTTGTGGCTTGGTTTATTATGAATCGTTTTTAAAAAAAAAAGAAATCTTTTTAAATCCAATCAATAGGAGTGACAAATTGGTGTTGGTTTGTTTTAAAGTTGGTATTCTAAACGGAAAGCCAGTGAGGCTATGTGATCTTCCAGAAGGAGTTAAATGTGATTATGATGCTGATAATCTACCAGGGGGTCCAATTAAAGAGGAAGAAGATGATTAAATTAATTAATTATAATATTTAATTTATATTCCTAGTGGAACTATAATTTCGATCATCTTAATAAAATAAAATATTATAAATTTTTTAAAAAACAACTATTTATTTTTTTTTTATTTTTTCTTTTTTCCATATAAAATTTTTTTTTTTTTTTAAAAATGGCACGTTTTGAACCTACTACACAATAAAAAAAATTGAAATAATAATAAAAAAACAATAAAAAAAAAAATAGAAAATAAAAAAAAAGAAAAAGTTAACTTTTTTAAATATGTAATAAATTTTTTAATCTTTTATATTTTATTGTATAACTAACTCTTTATGAAAAATAAAAATGAAATTGATAATAATTAAATTGAACTAAATATACTTTTTTACTGATTGTTATTTGTTAATTTAATTATTATAATTGATGGTGAAATAATGTATGATATGAAAATACCAATGTAGTCATTTGATTGATCGGACAAGAGATAAAATTTCACCTTTTGACTGAATGAGTTCTTCAACAGATATTAACGGTCTACTAGTACAGGTGATAGAGTGGAGCTATTGATTAAGCATTGTACTTGATATTCTCTTCATTAGTTGATACCCGATAATGACTACTTTATCTAAAAGGTTTTGATGTTATACCAAAGTTGCTTGGCCAGAACAAAGTTGGTATATTCAAAAATCGATTAGATTGAATAGTATTACAATTTGAAAACTATGGATTGATTACTTTACTAGAAATATTTGTGGTTTTATAAATTGTTTTTTAGGGATTGATTTTTAATTTTTGAATAGGTGATTGTAATTTGCTTTATATTGATGATTTTATGATTGGTTTCATTAAAGTAATGAGGTGGTGTTGATGATGAATTGAAGATCTTTTAAAAGAAAAATGAGATGTTTGTTTATTTGATGGACCCTGGTGCACTTTGTATTGAATTGATTGAACGAAAACCCCAATAATTGATTAGAGACTTTAAAAAAAACGTATTGATAATGAAATAAAGAATTTGATATAAACTAAATAAATATTAAAATTAAATATTAGTTTCATTTATATTCAAATATAATTTAAATTATGCTAATGTTATCATTATATTTACCTTTAAATTTTGATTTCGTATTAATTTTAGAACTTTTTGAATTTCCTTGTCATTTCCTGAGCTTTATTCTGAAGGGATGAATTATATTATGTATTGTTTGCCACAAGTAGTTGATAATGATATGATTATTTAATGGATTCCTTTTTGGGTGGTGTTGTTAACTATTTTAAATTTCATCGATTTAATCGAGATCCATATAATCACCGGATTCTTCGGAATCTGATCCACCAATTGAATTGTTATTATTTGTTAAAAATTCATTTGGGACATATTGATTTAAATGAGAATCATAAACGTAATCGTAATCGTATTCATTAAAATCTAATCCAGAAGATGAATTATTATTGTGGTCAGAATGGGATTGGGAATCTGGTTCATATTCATAATCATAATTGGAATCATTATCGGAGTCATTATCGGAATCATTAGAATTGTTACCTTTATTTAATGATTCCATTCTTACTTCATATATTGATTGTGCGGCTTGACCCTCTCTCTGCGATTAAATAAAGAAATTAATTAATATATTTTTTATTTATATTATAAATATAAATGTATGAAATACTTACTTGAATATGATTAAATTCTACTCTGCATAATGGACAAGTATTATTTTGTATGCACCATTTTCTGATGCAATCATAGCAAAACATATGAAAACAATCTATAAAGGAGGCATTAGTGGTATCTATTTTGATGTAACAGATACAACACTCGGAGTTATTTTCTTTTTCTAAACGCTCCTTTTCTAATTTTTCATTCTCTAATCTTTGCTTTTCTAAAATTTCTTTTTGAATACGATCTTGTTCGATTTTTTCTTTTTCAATACGTATTTTCTCTAATCTTTCTTTATCAATACGCTCTCTCTCTAATTTTTCCAATTTTTCTTTTTCCAATTTTTCCTTTTCAATACGCTCTTCTTCTGCTTTATTTGATGAACTCTCACATTTATAACGAGATTGCTCCTTGTTAAATGATGGGTACTTTGATGATTGTTCGTTATTTGGTGGAGTATTTACTGATTTTGGTTCGCTAGCGGTAGAATAACGTGATTGGTCTTTATTAAAGGTTGGGTAATTATTATTTTGTCCCCTTGAAGGTGTAAATGTTTGTTGTGGACAATGATTTGGAAAATTGGCTGATGGAGAACTATTTGCAGCAGTATAACGTGATTGTTCTCTATTGAAGGATGGATAGCTAGACTGTGCACTTGAATATTGTTGTGGTTGGGGTTGTGAGTGTTGTTGGGGTTGATTGCTTGATGTGACATTACCAGCAGCTGAATATTGTGAATGGGTTTTATTAAATGATGGGTAATTATTATGTTGTGCCCTTGATGATTGAAAATTTTGTTGTTGTTGTTGTTGTTGTTGTTGTTGTTGTTGTTGTTGTTGTTGTTGTTGTTGTTGTTGTGGAATATAACTGTGATTGCTATAGTTGGTGCTGGATCTGGTGTTGGGGCTGGAGCTGGTGCCGGTGTTGGATCTGGAGCTGGTGCCGGTGCCGGTGTTGGAGCTGGTGCCGGTGTTGGATCTGGTGCTGGAGCCGATATTGGAGCTGGAGCTGGTGCCGGTGTTGGAGCTGGAGCTGGATCTGGTGTTGGAGCTAGTGCTGGAGCCGGTGTTGGAGCTAGTGCTGGATCTGGTGTTGGAGCTAGTGCTGGTGCCGGTGTTGGAGCCGATATTGGAGCTAGTGCTGGATCTGGAGCTGGTGCCGGTGTTGGAGCCGATATTGGAGCTGGTGTTGGAGCTGGTGCTGGAGCCGATATTGGAGCTGGTGCCGGTGTTGGAGCTGGTGCTGGATCTGGAGCTGGTGCTGGTGCCGGTGTTGGAGCTGGTGCTGGATCTGGTGTTGGAGCCGATATTGGAGCTGGTGCTGGATCTGGTGCTGGAGCCGATATTGGAGCTAGTGCCGGTGTTGGATCTGGAGCTAGTGCCGGTGTTGGGGCTGGTGCTGGATCTGGTGCTGGAGCCGATATTGGAGCTGGTGCCGGTGTTGGTGCTGGGGCTGGATCTGGTGCTGGAGCCGATATTGGAGCTGGTGCCGGTGTTGGTGCTAGAGCTGGTGCCGATATTTGAGCTGGTGCCGGTGTTGGAAGC